TATTTAATTTATGTTTGACATTTAATACCTAACTATATAGAAAAACATATTTAATGTGTGTTTATTTTAAAAGAATTGGTGTATGCTTACATACAACTAGCATACGTAATTGAATTGGTCCCCCCTTGCACAGCAGCACTTAGACTGGGAGAGGGGGAGGCAGTGCCTGGAAAGAAAGCTGGAGACGGGCATTAATATTTTTCCATTTTCTGCATGGGAAAGGAAAGGATCAATGCCTGCTCAAACAGAGATTTACCAACAAGTTGTAAAACCTCTGAGCAACATGTGCTTCCAACACTTAGAAGAAATAATTACTGAGCTATAGGAAAGCCCTACATGGTCCCATCTCCACCTGGTTGCCACAGGTATTTTCTGAAATCAGGTCATGTATGTCCTGAATCCTATCCTGCCCTGAATGTCAACACATCTCATCTTTATGTTCTTGTCTACTAGGATTTGTTGATTGTAAAACTACAAGAATGTAATGTTCTGTAGGTATACATTCACACTAGGTCCATCCAGCTATATCTGCTCCTTACACACATTTGATAATTTTGGGTGCTCGAGTTCTGTAGTATTTAAAGGATATCAATTGGGAGAGTAACATATACTCTTCCCAATAATTAAAGTTGGTATGGGTCACACGGTGGCTCTAAATACTGAGGGCTGAGCGATCACATGACCTCTGATAGCTCAGCTCACGGCCTTCTTCCTGCAGAGTGTTGGCTATCATCCACTGCTCCCCGCATTGATTGCCCCCTCCCCTCTCAGTTTCTCCAGCACTAACTGGAGAGATAGACAGGGGAGGGGGCGGGCACAGCTGGCTCTAGAGAGGTGGAGCCAGCTGTCAATCCAGCAGCTGGGAGGATCCTGACAATATTGTGGGGATCCTTCATGGCTGCAGTGCAGCTCTGAGCTTTTGGCATATAATGGACAGTACCCAAAAGAGAGGTAAAGCCAAAAAAAAAAGGTTTGGCTTTAGTTCTCTTTTAATGAAAGAAATCAATGACTAGCCAGCTGTCTTCATTTTTAGGAATAAGATGAGGCTGATTTTGTAAAGAAGTTGAAAATCTTCTCTCAAGAAATTGTGTGAATATTCATTTTAATTATATTAAAAGCAAATTCCTGTTCATTTCAAATACCCAGTCATGTGCAGATGATCCTCTATGTCTCCTTAAAGGGAACCTGTAGCCACATGTTATGAGACGAACTGACATTCACATTTTTAGAGTTCAAAATGTATGCACAAGAGCCGCTAAGATCTCCTATCATTAGCATCTACTATTGTGAATGATTGTCTTATTAATCAAGTTGAAAAATTTGAGTGGGGCTTCTCCCATAAAACAAAGAACCCCCAAGCAAAGAGGGAGGTGCTCAGAGAAATCCAGTAGGTAGCAGTAAAGACGCCACACCAGTGGTGATAGACTTTGTAATACTTCTTTATTTCATGCTACATTATCTGCTGGTGCAACCATTTGATATGATATCTCTAAATACTTTTAAACTCTTGAGTATAGGCAGTCCTGAAGTGACCTAACACACAAGCCCCGATGAAGGGGTAGTTTATGAACTCCTGAAACACGCTGGTTTCTCCTCTCATTGATTTTTCATTAATAAAGAATTATTCTGGACTCTATCTCCACTGCTGTGGTGGCTTTTCTGCTGTCTACTGGATTTACTTGTTTTAGTGAATAACTCTAGGTGTTTACACATGTGGAGTTTCTAGAACACGTTCTTTTACCTCAGAATAACAGCACCATTTCCTATGGTATGTATCTTAGGACCAACCCATGTTGCTTCTTTCGCCTCACTGTAATAGGTGGTCTCACTAACCAACAGTAAGACATGAGAAGCGGGAGGAGAAAGTACATACCCAGTAACCACAAAAGCCAGTTGCTGTTTCCTTTTCTGAGGTCCAAAGAAGCTGAGTAAAAATCCAAGCACATGTCCATAAGCACATGGAGCTGCAGGCTAACGTACATATGTGTCAGTTTGTCTTATATGGAGATAGTATGGAGACGGTTTCACTTTAAGGTTCTTTATGAGCAAGTTTTTAAACTTGCATTTCTGTTATTTTTGGTACCACTTCTGCTTTTGTTTGAAGTCTGTGTTTCTCTTTATCATTACAGTCTCCCTGAGGGAATAGTTACCAAGGAGGCTTTCATTTTGAATTTTGTTTTGGTCTGAAAATTGGCTTGAGCTTTTGAGAAATGTTTTTGCAGCTGCATGTTGTCCCCTGTGACAGGCACATACATATGCTCCACTGAACTTTTCATTTTCTGTCTTACATTGGGACATTTAGTGCTGTTATATTTCATCATTTGCTACAATTTGTAAGATTTACCAGTTTTATTAAAAAAATGTAGAAATGTTATTAGTTCTATTAGCCGTTTAGGCATACGGTATAATTTATGTAATAATGTAATGAATACACATTTTCTTCACATCTTTTTCTCTAAAAAGGTAATTCAACAAAGGTTTTTTTTGTGGTGTATAAGAAGGGTTAAGCTTGCCATACTGGGCTTGAATTTTGTCTTCTTCTTGCTCAGTCAGACAGTATTCAAGCCCTTTTGCATCATCCGTCCCGGAATCGACTGAGCCTGGTGGAAAATTATCAGCCATGCAGTCATTGTTCAAGTATTCAAAAGCCATGGTGTTGTGGCTGTCTAAATACAGTAGCTGACAGCAAGGATTCCCCCCTCAATGCTTTTTAGCATGGAGGGATGAATCTTCTGATTTTCTTTCCATTAGGCCTCTTTCACATGGGCGGCGTCTGTGCAGGGGATCCCTGAACTGATCCCCTGCTAAATTTGAGCAGAACATAGTGGATGACATCCGTGTCTGTTCAGTTTTTTCTCCATCCGAAACAAAATGGAACTCTTTTTCTGGGTTTTTTCGGACTTGAGCTAACCATACACCTATAGATTATCTGCAGATTTTCTATGGTCAGATGCAAAAAGTGCAACAGATTCCTCCAGCTACGCTAAACTATGTGGATGGAGAAATCTCCCACTGGGCCAAGCTGCAGTATCTTGCTAGTCGGCCCCGCTGGCTCTCAAAACACCTGAACAATGTCTGCATCCAATCAGATTGTTCAGTTATTTTGAGAGACATCAGGGCCGACTAGCAAGATACTGAAGCTTGACCCAGCGCAAGATTCCTCCATCCACACAGTTTAGTGTAGATGGAGGAGTCTGTTGCACTTTTTCCATCTGACCATGGAAAATCTGCAGATAATCTATAGGTGTATGGCCAGCTTTAGTGGTAGGCAACCCATAATTGCTCATTAAATGGGCTGCCTACTGCATGGGCTTGCTAAATCATACTCAAAGATGAAGAAGTTCAAGCACCTTTTAAAAAATCAAATTGCACCACATTGCACAACACACATGTGATGGCTTGGTGTGCTGGGGTGGCATTAAGAAATAATGACACAACAGCAAATTTAAAATTATAACATGCAGTGCTGGATTACATGTTGCATTGCACATGCTCCCGCATTGCAGAGATGTGAATGGAGCCTCAAGTCACACTGCTGCAACAAGGCACATTTGTAAAATATAGAAATGAATAAACTGAGAGAAGATTTACCTTAGAGGTAGCCCCATCCTCTTTACACAGCCACTCACCAGAAGTGCACGTGCACTCAAGGCAGCTGAAGACCTGCACCAAAACAAAGCAAAAATATGGCAGCCACCCAAATCAATTTAGTAGCAAGGGAAAGTATATGGATGAAATAGTTCACAGAATATTACAACAATCCCCTAACATTTGATACAGCTGGGTAGCGTAAAAGATCTAATTATAAACTGTTTCTGACATTAAGATTAAAAACAGAGGTTTTGTCTACATTGTAAAAATCCCAATTCCAGAGCACTTAAAGTGACACTGAACATAGGAGTTAAATCTTAAAAATGCATTCAAGTACATTACCTAATAACAAAAATGTATCTTATTTGTGTATCACTCAGCTGTAGATTCTTAAATCAGCTTTGAATTCATGATGACACTGTTCTTCCTTCTGGAGGGTGGCTACGTTTGTTCCCTATGGTCCCCGTGTGTAAAGTAGCCACCGTGATGGACTACAATCTCAATACAAGTTAGTAAACTAAATGTGATGATGTAGTCCATCAGAGGAGCAAGCTTGGAGTGGTGGCTACTTTACAAAAAAAGAAGATGCAAATGTAGACACCAAATACTTGTCCCGTAAGTTTATGAGAAACTTTGGTGTAATAGATTTTGCTAAGACAGTACCATATATTTTCTATAACACTGGATTCACACCTGTCTGATGTGGCACATTGCATTAACACAAGCGTGCATTATGTTGTGCCTTGTGAATGCCAAAGGGACACATTTAAGAGGCATGGGGATTACTGTGCTCACTCAGGTCATCCTGGTGTAGGAACGAATTCAGGAAAGTTCACTGACAAGGCAGCTCCCAAACAAGATAGGCATCCCTTATCCCTTTGTAGGGTAACCACAAGTGACTCAGTGTTCAGAAATTAGGGGTGTTAAACCAGAAGGTTAAAGAGTACACAAATGCCCTTAATTGTTCACAATTTGATTAGGCAAAAAACAGCCAACGCGTTTCTGGGCAAACAATATATCACCTTCATCAGGGCTTAGGATGGTATAAGGTTTTGATTGTATTCAACATACTAAATCCAAATGGATATTTATAAGATTTGATAAAGAGGTTTCCTTTAGTGCTGGAATTGGCAGCAGTTGCCGTAAAGCACCACAATGCCTTATGCATTTATAGGTATGAATCTAGCCTGATTGTCAGCTGTACCACAGATGCTGAAGTTCCAGGCATCAACAAAGAGAATGCAAAAGGTTAAGATTAAAGGTACAACAGTATAATACCAGAAACAAAAATTACCAAAACCGTTGCTAAAACCGTAGACATGCTGTATGTCATGCAGATTATATTAGTAGTAATTTTATTTAACTGTATAATAAAAGGCTATACAATTAACTATTGTTTTCTTCAACAGTTGATGGGTTGGACAAAGCTTCCATTGCAAACTGTGATGCACCAAACTCAGGCAATCAATCACCTCCCTTGAAGAGGAAAGGAAGGCTCTCCTCTATAGGCAAGATTTTCAAGCCCTGGAAATGGAGAAAGAAGAAGGCCAGTGAGAAATTCCGGGAAACGTCGGCAGGTAGGTAGACATATTTATGGCTCACTTTGGTATAAATGTTAGAAAAATACATCCAATTATTATTATTTATTATACATAAACTTTTACTAGTTACATTTCTAACAAATTACAGCTTGTTGGCTGTTTGCTTGTTGTGAGAACATGGCAAATTGAGGACTTTTCTGTCAAGGGCTGTCTGTTTGAAATATGTTAGTAGATATCGCAGTCATCTGACACTAAAAAGCATTGTTCACATTATTCTTTTTCAAACTTGTGTTTAACACAATAGTATGGATATTGTTTTTTGTTAGTCATTGGGTTCATTCACCTAGTACACTTGGGTGTTTACACTTGCATTGGAGGCAGCGCTTCATGTAACTAGAATAGTCCTTTCAGCAATAACTTTAAAAACCTGTGTAACTTACGGGCACACTCCTTTCAGGGTTTAGTAGTTGGCAATATCTGTATTCCATTTCCGTTGTGACATGTGGAGCCGCACATAACAGAATAAATGTATAGATGAAGAACCTGTGTATACAATCCCTTTTTACTGCGGACGCCGCAGTTCAGGTTTTGTGAAACCCTTTGCAAGTTGTCTACATGACCTCACAGTTTTTTGTTACTTTACATTAGGGCTGTGCAAATGAAAGATTAATTTCTCGATTAATCGTAAATCTTTTTGATCGATTACAATTTTTTTGATCGATTAATTTTTTTTTAAAACTCTGCACGAGCGCCAGCCAAGGCATTGGCCTATACACATACAGCACAGCAATGAAGTCATACAATGAACTAGGATCACACTAATCCAGCACGTTATTATTCTGAGTTGCCCCACGTGAGATTAATAACGTGCTGGATTAGTGTGATCCTAGTTAATTGTATTACTTCATTGCAGTGCTTTATGTGTATAGGCCAATGTAGTTGGATCTGTATGTGCATTATAATTAATCGAAATTAATCAATTAATCGATTAAAAAAATTTCGATTAATCGAACACAACAATTTTAATCATTACCAGCCCTACTTTACATGTTTTTCTTCTGTAGAGAAGAATGGCAGACAACTATTTGTACTGGGATGTTCACATTTTTGCTTTGGTTGTACAGTACACCTGGTGTCAGCATATTTAAAGCTAAACTAAAAGAGAAATCCCTTCTTCCCTTACTCGTGTCCAGGTGGAGAAGTACCTGCTATGAGACCCCCACTGATCTGGCCACTCAAAAACGTCTGACTTTTTCAACAAATTCTGCACTGCTCCATCAGGTCAAAGAAACAGTATCTCAGCTGCAGCTTAGACAGGCAACTGAATATCAGATTCAATTAAAGCTGAGCTCACTAACTCCTTATGAGCAGACACACATGTGTTGGACATATAGTGCTCATGTTAGAATCCTTAACACGCTGCTTGGCATCACATACTGTCAATTTGCTATCGTTGTTATTCTCCATGGACATCCTGTGTTGTGCTACCTCCTGAAGATATCAGCATCAACCTCTCTTTCCCTTTCCAATGGCTGCTTTCCAGGAGTCTTCCTAAGTTAAGGGCGACACCCCTGGCCCCACCCCAGCCTTGTTACGGGTGACCTCCGTGGCAGGTGACACAAGCTCACCCAAGCAAGGCACAATGTACTGGTGACACTAGTCACCAACAGGCAACTTTGCTGCAAGATGTCAATGGGTTGCAGTCCTCAGGATTGCTTTACCACAGGGGTCAAACGAGCAGGGTGGCTATGATGCAGAGGCAGGTTAACAGTACTATAGCTGGTCGAGGCAGGTGACAGGCGAAAGTTGTCAAAGTCTGGGTGGAGGTGTAGGCAAGTGGCAAGCAAGAAACGAGGTCTGAGCAGAGTTTAAGACAGGAGGTAGACAAAAATAGTCAATGCCCAGATAAATATTGAGGCAAGTGGAGAGTACAACAGTACAACATGCTGCAAGTGGGTAGGATGTACTTTCATGGATCCTGGTGGTACCGCAAAACAGCAGCTTCTGGAAGGCAGCGGAAGATTGAATATTCATGGAGAGAGTAGAGTGGCAGTATTTAAGGTGAAGAAGCAGCTTAAGGAGTTTTACATGAGCCCTATATGATCAACCTGTATAAAAAGTTAGTGTTTACCCTGCATGGGCATGCTTGGTGGCAGTCACTGATTGTGTAATGCAGCTTTATTTGCATTTATTATTACTTTTTTTTTTTTTTTAGCTCTGACCACAACATCAGTAATTGGCAAAAGTGTTTCTATTGCAGACATACAGTACAATGTTTTTTAGAGCTGCAGCTAACGATTATTTTCAAAATCGATTAGTTAGCCGATTATTAAGTTCGATTAATCGGTTAATCGGATAAAAAATAAAATACATTTTATAAAATGGCTCCAGTGATGGACTACTGGTTTGTATTGAGGTTGTAGTCCATCACAGGAGCGAGCCGGGAGCGGTGGAAGTAAAAAAGAAAAAGTGTGGTGTGCAATATAGTGACATGGAAAGTGAAAAATTATACAGCAATGAATGCAGAATGGCACCGGCTATAGAGGACTACAACTCCCAGCAATAGTACATTATACAGCGCAATGCAGAATACCACCAGCTATAGAGGAGTACAACAAATCCCAGCAATAGTACATTATACAGCGCAATGCAGAATACCACCAGCTATAGAGGAGTACAACAAATCCCAGCAATAGTACACTATACATACAGTGCATAAAGTATTGCTGGGATTTGTATTCCTATGTATAATACACAGCACAATGTACCACCAGCTATAGAGGAATACAAATCCCAGCAATACATTATAGAGCACCATGTGTGGGAAAGTGCAGGCTTACCCATCTATAGGCGGCTGTCATCCCCCCACACCTGCTCCTACTTACTGCTTCTCCCCACGTCCCTGTGCCGATTGTGGATGTGGGCGGGCGGTGAACGTGAGGCGGGGAGGAGATGCGGCGTGTGGAGCGTGGATGCGGGCGGGTCTGGCAGCGGCGAACGTGAGGTGAGGAGGAGGTGCGGCATACGGCGTGTGTGGAGCTGTAAACAGGGCCAACCAATCAGAAGCCGATTAATCGATGATTGAAAAAGTTGACAACTTTTTCAATAATCGATTATAGTCGATTAGTTGTTGCAGCCCTAATGTTTTTTTCCTCTAATCCACAAAGTTGAATGCTCCTAGTAAAATTACTGGCAATGGAGGTTAATTAATAAAAGGTGGACATTTTTTTTTAAAAAGGGGGGAGACATTACATGTAGACTTCTGGAATTGCTGCAAGCAATTAATTTACAAATAAAACAAGTACAGGCAGTGAGATTAAATCTTTGTAATGAGGATACAGACCGCAGTAAAAAAAACCTTACAGTTACCCGGAAGAAGAGTCAACTTCCATGTACATACAGTACTACGAACCAGACCCAAAAAGGTGGGCACTCCTTGTTGGCACGAGTGCGGTAGCATTATAACTACCCCTGCTGTACAGTAATAGCCTCCGTTTGTAAGTAGGAGTCGTATGTAAGTCGGATTTATGTAACTCGGGGACTGCCTGTATATTTTTAATAATAATAAATGCAGGTAAGAACATTTAAAAGTAATGCTTTACTAAAAAATGCTCTTTTTAACAGGAAGTCTGAAGTGCATTTCAGAAGAGCTACTTCTTCTGAAGGTTTTTATTTTTCAGATTGCATATAAAGAAGTACCAAACAGCTAGATATACATGCATATAAGAGCAGAACATCGGGTGAATAAAGAATGCATGTGGATTTCAGTTATTTTATAAACTGTTTTTAGGTATACAATAATCAGAATAAGCTAGATCTCTTAATTGAGTGACTTGACCGTATGTATGTGTATATGTATATGAGCAGTGAGTTGTTGCTTGTTAGTATTCCGAATAACATTTTGGTTTTCCAGTAATACTGTCTGCCAATGAGTGAACTACTTAATGGTCTATTTGGGTTAGAGTACAGATCATGTGCCATTTGCCGAGTACAGGCCATTTCCAGTAATTCTGTATTGCCTAGCTAATCCCAGGCCATTATGAGATTACATTGTCAGCAGTTATAATGAATTGAAGTGCATTGATCAGAGCTCAGATATAAACAGATGTTAGCATTGTGTGAGATTAGAAAACCTGGCATAGAGAAGAGAGACTTGTTTTAATAACCTATGTAAATTACATATTTATTTCCTATTAAACTCGACCCATATTTGAACCTCCCTTTGCAAAAGCAAACAAATGTTATGATGTATGAACACACATAAAAGCACATGGTGCAAGTATAGTGTTACCTCTAAGTAGTTCACTTGTTAAGTTGAATAGAGGGGCATGTTGAAAGAATATAGATGTGAAGACCATTCAAAAGCGGGTAGCGAAATATAAAGGCTTGGTTATCTCGCCAACAATTAAACGTTACAAAACCTGTACATGTTCACTTAAGAAAAAAAAGCTGTTATGGGGCAACTTAAAATGGAATTCCAAATTATTTTATTGCCCTTGTTGAGGGGATTTCCCTTTACTTCCTGTCCATAGTGACCACGTTCAGTTTGAGAAAAGTTTAATAAAAAAAGGATGTTGCTCGGTGCATTCCTGCTGGGGGGACGTTTCCTCACTTGAGAAGGGTTAGAACTAGAGGTGCACTGAAATAAAAAAAAGTGGTACATAAAAAAAATTGTCAGACCGAAACTGAAAAATTAATTTTTTCACATTTAAAAAAGATTTTATTTATTTTTTATAAACTTAACTTTTTTATATTTATTTAGTAATTCATTTTTTATTAAATATTTTTATTTTTTACTTTATTTTTAGGCGCTTCGGGGAAATATTGGGGGTCTAAACAGACCCCTGATATTTCCCTTTTAAAATAGAAAAAGAGATTGGGGACACAGAGTACTCTATCTCTTTTTCTCTATCCCCTGTTATCAATGAACAGGAATCCTCTATAAGTGTTCCTGTTCATTGATAACTCGAGGACATAGTATGTTTACTATAACCAAAACTATGAATGAACAGGAGGTGATATAGATCACTCCCATT